AGCTCGTCAAGCATGTCTGCAGGAACTTGCAAAGAAAAACGAGTTCCTTGAACGTACCGAAGGACTTCTATATGGCCCTGGAATCGCTGATTAATCGGTAAGCCACTTTAATCATACAGTTTCTATGTGTCAAAACTTTAAACGCGTTTTTCTCAAAACGACATTTTTAAAATATGCGGGCGGGATAACTCAAAAAGTTCTCAACCGATTCCAATGAAATTTTGCACACATCTACTTTACAGTAATAGCTTCTAGTTAAACCTCAAACATTCCAAAAAAAATTCAAATATTAACCCTTTTACCAAAAAAAAACATTGAAAAAAAGGTGAAAAATCGAACTTTTTTTCTGAGGTTTACGATTTTGTGACTTTTTTAAAAAAATTTTGGTTTAACTAGAAGATATATGTTTTATGAACACGTACAAACTAATTTTTTTGATTTCAGATCGCCGTACGAAAAGTGAGAACGCCCGCATATTGATACTTTTTCCGAGAGGGTCTTGGTAGATTCATTTTTACGGCAGCCATTTAAAAAAAAAAAAAAAAAAAAAATTTAAAAAAAAAAATTTAAAAAATGTTTTAGTTTATTTTAATATATAATAAATAACCCTAAAAAAGTTCAAAAAGATTCAGTCATTCCTTCCCAGTTTAAAAAGTCCTCAAAAAATGGTAAAAATTAAGGCGATTACATGTATCGCCCACCTTAAAGGGACAGAATATGCGATGAACAGCGGCAGTTCATCCCTTATTCTGTCCCTTTCAAGCATTTGCATAAGTTCCGATCTCTCTTTCTGCCCAAATACAAACTGTTGTGTACAATTGTACATAAGTTAAGTGTACATATTCGGTAACGATTTATAAACCAAAATTAATAAATTTATAAATTCTTAAAGCTGAATATTGAACTGAAATGTACTTAATTTATAATTTATTATTATTATTGGTAAAAAATCGTTGTAGATTTAATTAAAATCGTAAATAAAAATATTTTAACGGTTGATTACGAAGAAAATACCCGTTCGATGTACTAATCAGTACACCCCCAAATTTTTCGAATAGTAATATTCAAAATCGATTTAAATTTTTTTAAGAAAAGGTTTTGAATGAACAACAGCTAAGTTTGTGAGAAAGTGAAAGGTAAACTAGTAGTGCTTGGCATTGTGCCTTAAGGCAAATTGCTGGAACTTCCCGTACCTAGAATTATTTTTTTTAAAAAAGATTTTTTTTTAACTTTGAAAAACAGGCAAATGTGGTCTCTAACAATACAGAACGACTTATTAGCATAAGATTATTCAGTCAGATTTTCTGGCTGAAACATAGTACTCCTTCGCGAAAGTTATTATAGGTTTAACTTCTTAATTCGAATAAGTTAATTAATTTTGAATCGAAATTAGGCTTTGAAATGGAAATAAATAATGTCTTGAGTTCTTATATTAGAATGTTTGAAATGTTGAGTTAAAATTAATAAGAATTAGAAATAACAATATAGGATATAAAAATAAAACGTTGTAGGTGAAAAAAAAATTAAAAAAAATGGAACCGTCACCGGTTCCCAAAATTTGGGAACCGGTTCCAGACCCGGAACCGCGCTGGACCCGGATCCGGTTTACAGCTTTTATTTCCACGCTTATCAGAAAATTTACTCCTGTAAATTCTTCTGCTTGTCCAAATGTAATTTGATCATGCGAGCGTATATGATTCAAATTAAGGGCACTTGCGCCTGAATTTAAAAATAAATCGCCATTGATACTTCTCGCCTAACTGAAGATTTGAATGAAGAGTGATGTGGATTTGTTACATTTATATATTATGATCAAATTTTTGAGAATTAAAACTTAAAAAAATACTAGCGCACTCTGATGGAAATAAATAACAGCAAACTAGACCCGATTTAAAAACCCACAAACAAAATATAAAATATAAAGGAAATGTAACTCAGAATTTGAATTATTTACATGCTTAAATTAATATAGTTACTTATTAAAAACAGTAATTTATTGAAAATTTCGCCTGTTGAAAAGTTATTTGCGATATATGGTTTTGCAGTCAAAATTCTTTTAAACAACACATATATTTTATATAAAAATGTGCCCATACTACTTAATTTTAATTCATTAGTAATATATATATATATATATATATTATATATATATATATATATTTATTTATATATATATATATATATATATATATATATATATATCTTCTTCTTCTATATATATAAAAATAAGTCGGGTTTTTCTTCCTGACGAAATAACTCCAGAACGCACGAACCGATTTCGACAATTTTACATTCGTTGGAAAGGTCTCGGGCTCCGCAAGGTTTATAGCTAAGAAAATTAAAAAAAAAATCAACAGAAAAGCGGAAAACATATTTTCTTTTTTTACATGCGGCGTCATCTCTAAAACTTAGCATGTACTACAAACCAAACCGCTGCCGGTAGATAACGCCGGTAGATACATTGTTTGACATCTCAATGTTCACCGTTCAGTTAAATTCAGGTGATAAACCGGCATTGTGTTTACAGTGAAATTGTGCAAAAAAGTTAAATTAGTTATTCTTTTCCGAACATCACGTGTTTTGTGCAAATTTTTGTCTTTAAGGCAGGCGTTTGTCTTTAAGGTGGTAAGTTAAACTGTGTAAATTATGTGGATAGTGCATTTGAGTTTAAATTCACCACTCTGTCCATAGTCTAAAATGCCTATAGGACGACGTGCGAACATCGGTCGCCGCACAAGACATGCAAACCAGCAGCAAGTGTATTTACTAAACTTAAGCGAAGGCAGACAAAATATAATAAGACAAAATGCCCGGTTAAGACAACGCATCAGTACACGTAGATCATTGGCATCATACAATCGCTTGGCATTCCAGTATGATCCCACTGCAAACTACAGTGATGATAAAAATTTTGATATTGGACCAATGACGACTATATGCCGATATTGCAATGCGTTAAAGTTCAAAAGAGAAATGGCTGGATTGTGCTGCGCAAGTGGAAAAGTAAAACTGGATCCATTACTTGCACCACCACCGCCACTGAAATCATTGTTTGATGGAAGTGACCCCGATTCCAGCCATTTTCTTCAACACATTCTTCAATACAATAACTGCTTTTGCATGACTTCCTTTGGAGCTAATATCATTCAAGAAGGCGGCTTCAGGCCGACTTGCAAGGTAAAAGATACAACGCACATAACCAATCACTCACACCAATACAATGAATTGCACACCTCACACTACACCATCACACGGTCAGAAGTTACACGGTATTCTTCAACTAATGATTGTTTGAAATTACAGATACAAGGACAAATATACCATTTGCATGGTTCAATGGTGCCAACACCAAATGAACAGCATCAATTTCTGCAAATATATTTAATTTCGTCGATAGTGGATCAGCTGAATGTGCGGTGCAATATGCAGGAAGGGTTAAAGAGACGAGTTATTGAACAGTTGCAAGCATTTTTTCACGCTAATAATGCTGTGGTTACCATGTTCAAAACAGCATTGGAACGAATGCCATCAGATACGCACATATTTGTCATAAGAGCGGATTGTACCCCAAGAGGTGAATGTGCGAAGATTCAATGCACCCACCGTTAATGATGTTGCTGCAATTATTGTTGGCGATCCAACTAAATCGCGAGACATTGTCGTTCAGCGATGAAGCAATACCATGCATCGCGTAAACGAGACACATCGTTTGTACGACGCGTTACATATCCAAGGGCAAGACGGTTACGACATCACGTTGAAGATGGTCGATCCAATTACAGGTGCAATATTAACACACTATTTATTTTTATTATTGCTATTATTTGTTTCCATTAACAATTCATTTAATTTTGCATTTTCAGGTTTATCAACGAATAAAAATCTAAGCACTATGAAATACTATGCATATCGTATGATGATTCGTCCACATGAGGAGAATGTCATTCTGAAGTGCCGTCGGCTATTCCAGCAATTCGCTGTCGACATGTATGTCAAAGTCGAGACCGAACGTTTAGTGTTCATTCGATTCAATCAGGCAAAGCTACGATCTGAGGACTATATACACTTGCGAGATGCTATTCATTCAGATGGTGATGTTCAGAATATTGGACGTCTCACGATTCTCCCATCATCTTATACCGGAAGTCCACGCCACATGCACGAATACGCTCAAGACGCTATGACGTACGTGCGACATTATGGAACTCCGGATTTATTTATTACGTTCACTTGCAATCCGAAGTGGACGGAAATTGAACATGAGTTGGAAACGAGCCAAAAACCGCAAGATTGCCATGACATAATAGCCAGAGTATTTCAGCAAAAACTCAAGGTCATGATGGATGTGCTTACTAAGTATCGAGTTTTTGGAGACACACGTTGTTATATGTACTCAGTGGAATGTCAGAAGCGTGGACTACCGCATGTTCATATCCTAATTTGGTTGCTGAATAAATTACATTCAAATGAAGTGGATGACATCATATCAGCTGAAATTCCTGATCCAGTCACTGATCCCCATCTACACGACATTGTGACGACACAGATGGTGCATGGACCGTGCGGTGCATTAAATCCATTATCGCCTTGCATGGCTAATGGAAAGTGCACAAAACGATATCCGCGACCGTTAGTTGCTGATACATTCAACTATCAAAGTTAAAGTTCAAAATCAAGAGATTGAGATCGGAAATGAATTTATTGTAGCATATTGCCCGCTGCTATCTCGAATTTTCAGAACACATGCAAATGTTGAAAGTTGTCATACGGCCAAATCAATCAAATATTTGTGCAAGTACGTCACAAAAGGCACCGACATGACTGTGTTTGGTATTGCGTCGGAAAATGCGAATGACGAAATTAGCAGCTTCCAAATTGGCAGATACGTCAGTAGTAATGAAGCATTGTGGCGATTATTATCATTTCAAATTCATGAAAGATATCCCACAGTTATGCATTTAGCAGTGCATTTGGAAAATGGCCAAAGAGTTTACTTCACTGAGGCTAATGCGGCACAGCGAGCTGAGAGACCACCATCGACAACATTTACTAGCTTCTTTGCTATGTGTGAAGCAGATCCATTCGCAGCGACGCTGATGTACGTTGATATGCCCAAGTATTACACTTGGAATCAATCAACAAAGAATTTCCAACGCCGCAAACAAGGAACCCCAATTCCAGATTGGCCACATGTGTTTTCCACTGATGCACTTGGTCGCATATATACTGTTCATCCTAGAAGTGATAAATGTTTTTAGTTGCGACTGCTGTTGGTAAATGTACGTGGACCAAAACGTTTGAGCATTTAAAACCTGTTAATGGCCACCGATGTCAAACATATCGAGAAGCATGTCAACTATTGAGTTTGCTGGAGAACGATTCTCATTGGGATCTAACACTAGCGGATTCAGTTGTTTCATCAAATGCGTACCAAATACGAACGCTGTTCGCAATTATCATCACCACATGCTTTCCTTCACAACCAATACAATTATGGAACAAATACAAAGACGACATATGTGAAGATATCTTGCATCGCTTGCGCATTCAAACTAACAATCCTGATATTCAAATAACCGATGAAATCTACAATGAAGGATTGATTCTGATTGAGGATCAATGCTTGACTATTGCAAACAAGCTACTAATTGAAGTAGGAATGATTGCGCCAAATCGATCGATGCACGATGCATTCAACCAAGAATTAAATCGAGAGCTGCAATACAATGTTGATACATTGCAGGAATTCTTTCGAAATAATGTGCCGTTGCTGAATGAACAGCAAAAACAAGTATACGAAACATTAATGCAAGCGGTGGCCAATAATACTGGTGGTCTATTCTTCCTGGATGCACCTGGAGGAACAGGGAAAACATTTGTCATTTCATTGATTTTGGCCATCATCTGGAATTGCAGCGACTCTTCTAGATGGAGGTCGTACTGCACATTCTGCACTTAAGTTGCCTCAATTTAAATACAATTGATACTCCAACATGCAATATTTCCCGATCCAGTGCAATGGAAAAATTGTTGACGCAATGCAAGCTCATTGTTTGGGATGAGTGCACAATGCCACATAAGAAATCACTTGAAGCACTTAACTTCACACTGAAAGATCTTCGGCGAAATAACAACATCTTTGGCGGCTTGACGATATTGTTTGCAGGCGATTTCAGGCAGACGTTGCCAGTAATTACCCATGGAACGCCTACAGATGAATTGAATGCTTGCCTGAAAGCATCACCTTTATGGAATAACGTAAAAACATTATCGTTAACCACTAATATGAGAGTTCAACTTCAAAATGATCAAAGTGCTGCACAATTTTCCAAACAATTGTTAGCTGTTGGAAATGGGAAAGTCCCAGTTGATGCGACATCTGGATTAATTACTCTTACCAATGACTTTTGCCGATTTGTAGACTCTCAATTAGAACTTATTGAAAATGTTTTCCCAAAAATTAGCAAAAATTATCAGAATTATGATTGGTTAAGTCAACGAGCAATTCTTGCCGCAAAGAATAATGATGTACACGCACTGAATTTCACCATTCAGTCAAAAATTGCTGGCGATTTGGTGACATACAAATCCATTGATTCCATAACAAATCCCGATGATGTAGTAAATTATCCAACGAAGTTTTTTAACTCTCTGGAGTTACCAGGATTTCCACCACATAACTTGCAACTCAAAGTTGGCGCTGTTATAATGACATTGCGTAATTTGAATCCACCGCAACTTTGCAACGGTACTCAACTTTCAGTAAGAAGACTTATGCCGAATTTGATTGAGGCAACCATTATTAACGGAAAGTACGCAGGTGAAAATGTATATATTCTTCGAATGCCAATGATTCCGACTAGTCTTTCGTTTGACTTCAAACGATTGCAATTTCCAGTTCGCCTTGCGTTTGCAATGTCAATTAACAAGTCGCAAGGCCAATCGCTTAGTGTTTGCGGTATAAATTTAGAAAATCATTGTTTTTCACATGGCCAGTTGTACGTTGCCTGTTCACGAGTTGGGAAACCATCCGCTTTGTTTATGTTAGGCCAAAAAACAAAAAATGTAGTTTACCAAAAGGCTCTTCAATAAAACAGATAATTTGCAGATTCACTTTCATTTACTTAGTGCAGTTCATTTTTGTAATCGAAATAAATTCATTACTGTTGTGTAATAAAATCAAATTTTTCCTTTTCAAATATAAAACAAACAAAAAATTTCTTCATCTTTCTCACGAAACCATCTGGTGGCGAAACGGAGTTCGTCGGGTTTGCTAGTATATATATATATATTAGGGCGAGTCAAATTACTAATGAACTAAAATTAAGTAGTATGGGCACATTTTTATATAAAATATATGTGATAATATATATATATATATATATATATATATATATATATATATTATATATATATATATATATATATATATATATATATATATATACTTACTGACCCGACAGACGTTGTTCTGTACCCACGTCTACAATTTTTCAATATTTTATACTAATATTTACTGCTTAGTTAAAAATAATAATTACTGTTATTTGAATTACTATTTACACCAATATATGAGTGATGTTGAATGTGTAACTGTTTCAAATAAAATGATTGTTCTTAATTCCCACAGTTAACACTTTAATTATTCATTTAACAAATATTAAAAAATGTTCAATAAAATTGTATATTAAAAATTATACAATGCGTTTTATAGAACAAATTTATTTCCAATAGCTCAATTTATTTTATTGCATTTTAGGGTTATATAGTATTTTTAGTCATACCTGTAGATGTGGAAGTATAAATGAGTGGTTTTTCGTTTATTCACGACTAAAACATTGATTTTCCAAATTTATCACACTAAAAATGATCGTCTGCCTTTGTGATTTATGGTCATAGCATAAGATACACGTGTTGAAAATTGAAATCTTTTAAAAAGTACAACAAATTCAGAAAGAATTAATATATAGCATTCTCGGCAAAGGTGCAATATCACCTTTTATTTTTCGAGCCAAAATAATTGCTTCAATAATGTTGCCTATAATTTTTATAATTTCGTACCATATTTTAACTGGCTTTTAGTAATTTTAATATCTAAATTACATTTTTTTCTCCTATAAATCAATATACATTATTGCTTAAGTTTATATTTGAAGTGAATTAATTTGTCAAATCCTGTTCACATGTGCTCTATTCAATTTACGATCAACAAAATTATTGCTCTGTGAATTTTTTTACTGTGCTCCAATTTACTTGATATTTTGGAAGTAGGCTAATCTTTATCTTAAGTTCAGAAGTAAAAACAATTTGCACTCCGTCACCATCCACCGCATTAATTGGATTATTACCCTTTTAATTCTGATTTTATCAGAACTTGTAATACACTATTTTAATGGTGATTAAATGAGCTACAACTTTCTCTATCATAAATTTTACCGTCACTTCTCTTATTGTGAAACGGCGGAGGGTTAAAGGGCTCGAAAGACCTCTGGTTGGACAGCCGCGCACTACTTAATTAATACCTCTATCAATATTTGTGTAACAAAAATAATAAAAAGCAATAATTAGTCTGAAAAATACCTTGAATTTTCATATATATACTTTTATACGTATTCTTTCGGATATATTATAATGAGATTGTTTTTTTTTTAATGGATTTTTTTATGAAATCATGAGTTTTTTGAAAATCGTTTGTACTAACATTATGGTATTTTCTAGAATCCATCAAGATCTCTCCAACCAAGTTAATTCTAGATGGAAAACGATTATTTTTAATTCTGGTGGAAATGGCACTCATAAACTATTTGATTTAAATGAAAAAAAAAACATTGTATGCGTCTTTTAATTGCATGATCGCTTACTCATTTTACACGCAGAAGTACTTCTTTTAAAGCTTATTTGGAGAACTATAAAAACCCATTTTCATATCTAGCCTAATAATGTTCCTAAAACACTATAAAATAGCGATTTTTTAAGATTTTATTTGATATAATTTTGTTCATTACATGATTTTTGTTAAAATGTATATTTTTGAAGATATTAGCAAAAAATGATGAAAAACGCAAAAAGAAACAAATTTTCAGTAGCCAGTAACTTGAAAAGTATTTGCTTTTTTTAAAAAACATTATTAAACATTTTTCGCTTATAATTAGTTCTTTTATCGATGCCCAACGTTATTTTGAAAAAAGTAAAATTACACCACTGAAAAGAAATGTCATCCACCCGAGACGTGGTAAAGGAGTCTAAATGGTTTTCACTTCTGAAGAGTAAGAAGAACCTAGTTCCAAAATTCCAAACAAAATGGAAAACAGTAAAAAAAGTCAGACCAAAAGCGCTCCATTGAGTAAATATTCCGTCCGTAATGACAAACATATGAATTTTTGACACAATGAAACTTCTAAATATTTTTTTTTGTATTGTGTTTTAGTATAGTAAGGCAAAACGACTGCAAATTGAATATTCTTGAGCGCAATCACTTATGGTTCGTCTCCTTTGCACGAATTCGTACGGCGAATCTGTTCGCAAAGTGCGCAAACAAAATTATTGCAAGCAAAAGCAAACCACGCGCACGTTGAGAACACGATTCGCCGTGCGCGTCAGTCGCATGCGCAGACTGTCAGACGCATGTTATATTATTTGCATATTATATTAATTTAATTTTTGTCACATCTCAGCTGCTTTTCGGCATTAATAATGTAGACATTACATTTTCCTTATTCATAATCATGAATTTATTATATTTTAATATTGCTTTAGCCTATAAGTGAATAGAAATGTTTGGCAAATGACAGTCTTCAATTGTTTTTAATGTCAAACTAAGCTTCAAATATTTTCAAGGGCAAACAATGATAAACGGTTTTTTATAATTTTTTCTATTTATTTCTACAATCTAACTATATTTCTATGAATCAAAACATTCTAGAAAATGTCCCGAACAAACTTCAGGAAGATTCATGAAAATCCGAATTATAGTTTAGGAGGATTAACGTAAACGTACCATATTACGGGATGTTAAGAAACGTTTGACTTTAAAGACGAATTTTAGAGAAAATAGGAAAGTGGACGAACTAAATCTGTTATATTTTATTAATTAGACCTTTAAGATTATTATAAAACAAGATTTTTCGTCGTAGAACGTCATTTATAGAAATAATCGGCATTTTGGTGAACCACGCGTTTGTCTATAATTCTAATTATATTTAATGAATATAATTTAATTGAAAAATAATATTTTGATATAATTTTAAACACATATTTAATATATTTTCATGGAAATTTGAACAGTATAAGTGATTATAAAACTTCCAAAACAAAAATGAAATAAAAGTTGGTATTAAAATTACAGTAATTATTGTAACACTGGAAATGATATGAATAAATCAAACTGGAATGAAAAAATAAATCAAATAAAAAATATGAAACAAAGAGGATATAATTTATGTATTCAATTATCAATCCTAAATCTGCATAAATATATTTATTACTTAACATTCAAAATATATTTAAAGTATGAGATCATATAACAATTAGCTAGAGGGTTAATACATAATTTTCTTATTAAACTATATTTCTTATTTAACGAAAATATAAACTTTATGTAAATATATACTTTAAACTCTAAATAAAAAATTTAAACACCTAATAAAAATTTATTAATTTACTAGATTAAATCAGGTACAGAAAATACACCTCTTTTATTTACTGGAATTGGTGGTTTCCTTTTTTGTACTATATCTTTGGCATCATAATCTAACACATCGTCTTTATCAGGCCAACGCCAGTTAACCCTTCCATTTGCAAAACCGCTCATAGTCATAGTTTTGACTAGGTACTTTGGTTGATCAGTCTTATCATTAGAGGTTCCGAGTATTTTTCCAGGAAACTTTTCACCTTCATAGTGTACTACCACAAAATCGCCTTTGTTTAAAATGGTACTTTTGTTTTCTTTGTTTTCTGTATTACGATTTTCCTTGTCATCATTTAGTTCTCCAGTTAAAATTTCTTTTTCGAGGTCTTTTGAGTTCGTCGCGCCTTTTCTTTTCTTTTTCTTATCTTTTTGTGATTCATTATTTTTTTTGATTTCTTGATCTTTTTTTCTTTGTTCAGCCTTTTCTATCTTATCCTTTTTTTCTTGGTTTAATTGCCTCTGAGGCGTTGAGCACTGTATTAAGGTATTATGTTCTTCAATTCCATCCAATGCCAAGTCCTCATTTGGCCAGTCTAAAATAATTTCTGAAAGCGTATAATTATTTGCACCTATCGTAGAGTCACCCAAGTGCAAAGACTCCAGAGAAGGAACCATATGATTGCGAGGATTTGAATAAATTTGTCTAATGCTTTTCCAATAGTTATATAACCTTGTATCTTCTAAATCCCCATTCCACTCTC